CTCAGACAAGTAAAAGTATGATTCCGGTGATCGCAACGCCTTCTACTTCTCTTTCTGTCTGTAGTTAGTTGAAAAATACATACTTATATCCACCGTAAAAAAACAGACAAATTGTGACTCAGTGGACAGAATAAATTATAATTGAATATTATCACCTTTTAATACATAAAACTTCATCCATCTATCATAAGCATTCTAAAGGACGTCCTAAGATATAGGAAAACCTCCGCTGTTTATATTCTTTTTTTTCAGAAAATGCGGGCTTTAAGGACGAAGATGTACCAAAAACATTCCTCATCCGTAGTTTTGTTGCTCTGAACAACACTCTGAGTTTATTTACAAGACATGACACCGGATTCTCCTTAGTCATGGCTTTCGGAGAACCGGCACTTCAAAATGATTGTCGCATATATCGTTTTTTGAACAAGGAAGTGTACGATTGCAGCGAAGTTACTGTACCGGCGATTTTCCAAATTACCTACGTAAGTTAACCTCGTATAAAAAAAACGAAATTTCTTATATTCAGTGAATGTCATATTTATGTGTGATTTTCTTTTCTTCTTTAGCGTATAAACGTTAAATATAATTTTGTGAACACAAAAAATGTACTTTTTGCGGACATCCAGGCCAGAATTTCGGGACACATGCGCACCCATCCTGCAAATTCCAGCTGCATCATTGATTCGCTTTCTTTCACAAAGACAACCGAACACGTTACAGTGGCGATCGACCTTCCCTATGTAAATATTCCCGCATCGATACTGCAGACAACTCTTGCATCACACCTTGCCCATTTAGAACAAGTTATTCCAATATTGTGTTAGAATGTGGTGTGAAACATGTGAAAGTGGTGTATTGATTGGAATTATCATTACATGGTTTCTGGTATAAACTTTTTGGCTTACAATTCTCATAACACAGTCGCTATAGATACGAGTCATTATCATGGTAATGGAGATGCGATCATTAAAAATGTTTCAAGAAATGCAAATGTAACACCGGTTTTGATGAGTGCTGTAAAAGACCTCTGAATACTATTGTCGGTAAATACAAGGGAGACTAGAATGGCCATTTCTGACTTATTAGCCATCTTCAGCCAGTCATACTCAGCCCCAAGTGATGCGCCACCCGGGACTCGAACTCGCAACCTTTTCAATCAGAGTTTAACACTCTAAGCAATGAGCCACGGGCTATTTGTCTTACCGGGTTAGGTTGGGAGATATTGGCATCCGTTGATAAACTTTAACCGACCGCTAACGGAGCTCACCGACGTCTGAATATTATTTTAA